TGCCCTTTTCCCTAGCTTGGGGACAGATGCCTCTGGAGGAGCATTTCCTGTCATTAAAGGGGTTTGGAGGAAAACCCACACAGCTTTCTCATCTTTGAAGCTTCTTGGCCCATCCTGGCTCTTTAATTGTGCTGGAAGCAGCCCAGTTCCCAGGGCTTCTACACCATCAGGAGAGGGGAAGGGCCCAAAGCCGAATTCCTGGCTCCTGGCTCCTGGGCACCAGCATGACCTCAACCGCTTTCTGGGTTAGACCATTTCACTGCCAGGCTCCCACACTAAGAGCTTCAAAGTCAGGTGTGCCCGGGGTCAAGTACAATAAGCAAACTCGAGCAGAGGCCTGCAGAGCATGGAGACTTGGACACATTCACATACCTCTGTCCACAGCCTACACTAGCTGAAGGCGAATCGCGTCCTATTTCTGCAAGCATCAGAATGCACATTGGAATAACAGGGGAGCGACCACCCTATTTCTCTCCACGCTTACTTCCATTTTCCAGGTTGAGGTTGTGTGTTGACTTCTAGGCAGCCTTCCACAGCTATAAGTTCTGCGGCCTTGGAGTCAGCCAACCCAAGACGCACAACACTGGGGTGGGGTAGGGAGATGCTATGTTGTTGATGGCGTGTACTGTGTATTTCAATCTACAACAGTTGCACAGTTAAGTGCATAGTGGTTTCTTTGCCATGATTTCCTAAACACTACAATAGAGAAGCTACCTACTTTGTAACCTACAGATGAAGAGAAGCAGTTTAGAGAATGTTGTGCCTCATATGCAAGACTTTAAGGATTTGAGCATCATCAGATCTTGGTACCCCTAAAAGTAGTTCTTCTGAGGAGCAAACATATGTCTCCTCCCACCCACCCGTGTGTGTGTGTGTGTGTGTGTGTGTGTCAAAGGCTGTCAAGCAATCTTCCTCACTTGCTCTCCACCTTAATTTTTTAGAAATTAAAAATTAGTCCCCCGGGGACTTGGAGCTTGCCGATGCAGCTACATGGCTAGCCAGCACACACCACCATATCTGGCTGTTCACATGGGTGCCAGGGTTATGAACTCAGGTCCTCATGCTTGCATGGCGACTTTCTCTACGACCTACTCCTCCATTTTTCTGTTTTGATGTTTCTTTTTTTTTTAAGGAAATATTATTTTCAACTTTGGATTACATTAGGATCACCTGGAGATCTTTGAAAATGGCAGTGCCCATCCCACACTCTAGACATTTAAATCTGAACGTCTGGTGGGGCTTTTCCCCCTTTCCCTTCCCATGCCCCACACATAAACCTAACCCAGCTGAGGTTAGGAACCACTGCTTCTAAGTCACACACCAGCAAGGAAAAGCAGAGCTCTCGGGCATGGAGAAAAGATCATTTCTGGAGGGGAACTATAAGTTATCATCTGCTTGATTTCCCTTATCTAGTATTTTCTTTTCAGACTGTCCCTGACCACAGCTCTCAAGACACGTTGTTCCCTGCTCCACAGTTCCCTTCTACCTCTGGGCCACAACATCACCTAAGGAAGCAGTGAGCAGACTGAAAAAGCCAAAGGCTGAGGAGAAGAAAAAGTCACCCCCACAACCATTATAGATGCTATTACTCCTTTCTAAAATGAAGTCTCTACATCTCAGCCGGGCCAGTTCGCATCCAAGTGTGATGCAACTTCAGGAAGCTTTGGCATGAGGTTCCAAGTGTAATCCACAGATAGTAGGTCAGTCACATTTGGCCCTGGACCCACTCACCAGCTGGGAGAGCAATAGGAACCAGGATCCTTGACTGCATGGGGTGAGGTCAGCCAATGGGCTCACGCACAGTGATACAGGATGCTCTTAGGAGCGTCATGAATATATAAACACTCAGGGATGGGGGCCATTTCAAGGCACCCTGTAGGACTTGGCACTGAATCTCGGACACTTGTAGGGGTCTCACTGCTTATACAGCGCCAAAGAGGTTACATGCAAGGCACAGCTACTTTACCGACACTTTACAGCAATTCTCTGAATAGCCTTGTCCCTATGGGAAGGGACCCTCACACCCTTTCACACCCCTGGCCTTTTCAGAACAGCCTTGTCCCTATGGGAAGAGACCCTCACACCCTTCCACACCCCTGGCCTTTGCTTGAGAAAGCCAGGGGGATCTAGCAGAAGGGGTTGGAAAGAACTGGAAGAAACACCTATAAGGTGTTTTTGTTTGTTTGTTTTGTTTTTTAGTACTAAACACAGGACAATGCTTCAGCCATCCCTAAGCTCCCTCAAGACAACCGAAAGTTAACCCAGAGCCTAAAACTACAAGCTACTTTAGAGAGGAGGCACAATGAACAACAGTGAGGCTGTGGACATAGAGAAAGAACATTTTCCTCCTGCCACGACAGCTTCCTAAGCTTTTGAATCAGAGAAAACACTTTTGGACTCTGAAGACAATGGTGAGCAATTTTACCTATGTGGGAAAGAGAGCTTGAAATTGGGAATTTTGAAATATAAAATCTTTTTTTTTTTTTGGATTTTTGAGACAGGGTTTCTCTGTAGCTTTTTAGTTCCTGTCCTGGCACCAGCTCCTGTAGACCAGGCTGGCCTCGAACTCACAGAGATCCGCCTGCCTCTGCCTCCCGAGTGCTGGGATCAAAGGCGTGCGCCACCACCGCCCGGCGAAATATAAAATCTTTTAAATTTAAAAAATGTCAGATACCGTCAGAATTCTTCAGTTTTATCTAAGTTCCAAGAGCCCAGATAAATCTTGTTTTTTTATTTAACTTTATCATTTAAACCACTATACCTATTTATTCTGTAACTATTCAGTCTTACCTTTAGAATATGGTGTGTGTGTGTGCCAGAGCTCAAACCCAGGGCCCTGCCCATGCCAGGCAGGTCTCTAAGACTGGGCTACATCACAAACCTTACAAAAACATGTACATTCTCCAGTGTCTGAGCAGCAAGAGTAACTTGGTCCCAGCCAGATTCCAGGTTTACCAGCTATGAAGCTTAGCACTCGTTTTGCAGAGGAGAGTTTGCATTTACTGAGTTCCCAAAGCAGTACTCATGGCCTCTCCTGAGAACAGACACTGCAACTCGCCTGGGAGAAGAAGATCCCCACATTCTTCCCAGAAAAACGAGCAGATATCAGCAGCATGACATCAGTGAGATTTGAGCTCATTTCTCCCCAGAGACGAACTGAAGAGGGTGGGTTGAGGGGTGTCCCTGGCAATCCAGGTGATCCTCAAATCTACCGAATTAGCGATCTCTAGTGCACACATCTGCGTCCAAAACATAAACACTGACCCGACACCAAGTTCCCTTGAGTCAGCTGAAAGCCCCTAACTAAACCTGGTGGAGGATGAGATTTTTAGTTCCCAGGAAAGATAAATAAAGCAGATTTTAACCTGCCAAGAGCCAATTCAGAAACTATTTACACAAAAACCTGCGGATGAACCCTGGGCCAACATCTGCCCACCTGTCGCCTGTTAACTTAAACCAGTTTGCTGCTCGGGCTAAGAAGTAGCTTGCATCTTGGATCCTCCATTTGGGGCCAACATCTCCTTCAGCTTCGCAATCCGGGGATCTGGAAGGGCCTTGAAAGTCTGTATTTCCAGTCAGCACCCACGGCCTCAGCCACCAACCCACTTCCCGCACCCCCCCCCCCAAGAGGTTCCCTCCTTAAGGGCGGAGGCCCAGGGTGGAGGCGGGATCAGAACCCTGACATTTCACCAGGAGAGGGGCTGTGGCCTCCAGTGTTTGAGACCGCATAAGGGCAATTTCTGCCTTTCACCAACAAAACTGACCAGAGTCAATCAGAACTTGGATGAGACCACCCGGCTAGTTGGGAGAGGGGCTCTAGTGAAAAGACACGAAAAAGAAACCTGTTTGCTAAGTGATTTCTCCTGGCGCCCTTCCCCCGCCCCACTGATCTTAGTGCCTAGACCCATTTACTGGTGAGTCTTGGCCGTTATCTCATTCCCCACTAATGATCCTGGTGAGAAAACGCAAAAGGAAAGCCAAAAGATGTTACTTGCTTAGGGAACTGGTCTGTCCGCGCAGGTCCCCTTATGTGAGTTCCATAAATAAGAAACCACAGAGGGCGAGATTCCTTGGGAATCTGAGCGGTCGCGTTACTACCCTCCCAGGGGAAACAAATTTAGAAGCCGCAGGTTTACCGTCAACAACCCCTGAAAAAAGTGTCAGTGCAAGAGGCTTTTCCCAGAGGAAGGCATGTGGGGGCGCACCGAAATATCCGCTTCGGGGGCAGCACCTTGAACCCGCTTTTCAAAGGACCTACTATCCGAGGCTTCTGGACTCCAGCCCCGGGGCTCCAAAACCCTTCGGGCATATCCGGGCCGGCCCGCCCACCAGGGTTTGGCCAAGATCCCTGGTCACAGTCAAATCCAAGCTCGCTCAGCTGCCAGGACGCCTACAGGCGCTCCACCTGCTGGGCAGCCCAGTGGGCTCTCAACCCATACCCTATGCAGCTTGGGGGTGCAGGGTCCGCAAGGGGTTCGGACAGGCACGGTTACCAAGTGTTGGAGAGTCGGACCTAGCCAAGAACAGAACAGCACGCCACCCCACGACATCAGGAGCTTTCTTTACCACCCGACAAGTCTTTACCAGGAATCTGCAAGCAGCCCCTCAGCAGGGTAGCACCCATAAAAAGGACCCTACAATTCGCCCTTCTGCCCTCAGCAGCCCCTCACTGTTGAGATCTTACTCAGGCCCCCTCGACTGTAGACATCTTTTCCCAAGGCAAACTGGGGGGTAGGGTGGGGTGACAGGATGACTCCAGACACACCCTCGGTTCTCCAACAAGGTGAGAAGCCTCACCTTGACTTCCACGCAGAGACCCCAGGCGCCCAGAAAGACCAAAGGGCGCGGGCCGCGTTCTATGCCTTGGAGCCCACCTCCTGGCCCATGGCGCCTCGGTCGTTCCCTCTTGGGCGGCTGTTCTTTGGGTATAAACACCTGAGTCCGAGCGACAAGCCCCCTCCCTCTTTCCCGGAGAAAGTAGGTGCGCCCCGAGTCCTCACCTTTGTAGCGCTCCATCCCGGTCACGGCTTGCGCTCTCGGCGCTGCGAACCGCTCCGCACAGCGCCCTCAGCGCTGGGTTCCGAGCCCCAGCTGCGTGCTGGCCCCTCCCAGTGAGGTCACGCTCGCCTCCCGACCTCCCGGAGTGGCCGCCGCGCCCCCAGCCCTCCGATCCGGTCTCCACCCAGGCGCGTCGCCCTCGACCGCGCCTGGGATCTCTGCAGCCGGTCCGGACAGTGGGCGCTCGCCTCCTCGCGCACCCGGCCCTGTGCTCCCCGCCCCAGCTGCAGATCACTTCCTCCAAGTCGGCCTGAGGGCGGCGGGGCGAAGAAGAAAGACTGGGGTGTCCTCAAAGCCTGGGGGAGGCTACGGGAGCAGCAAGCGCCCGCAGGTCTTCACCAAGATCTGACTTCTCAAGTGCAGCGACTGCGAACCCAATGCCGAGAGGAGGAGACTGAGGGACAGCGAGGAGGTGGTGAAGGACCTAGAGCGCCTCCTGCTTGACCCCTCGAGCCTGTGCGCTCACGTCCTGGGCCCTCCAGGGTGAGTCCCTTGAGCACCGATGCGAGCCCTCACCCGGCGCTCGCTCTCGGTCCTCCTGGTCCGGGGCACCTGTGGATCGCGCACGCTTGACGGCACAGGAAACTTCTACCTGCAGCCCACTCCCAGGTTTTGGGGGCGTCTGTAGACGAGGCTTTCCTGGGAAGGACTAGAGAGTCTGGAGCTTCCGCGACAAGCCTGGACTTCTGAAAAGATGGCACCTGTCTAAGGTACAGGCGTCTGCCTCTGCATCACCTCCACCGAGGAACCATTTGCATCCTTCTCCAGTCCTTCCGCGCTCCTCAATTCTCCCAAAGCCCCACGCTTTCCTTTAAACTTTTGGGGTTTCACTTTTGAAAACGTGCTGGGTGCCGGATGCTTGGTTTCTTGACAAGTTTCCCAACTTCCTGGAAGAAATACTTAGGGAAGGTTTGTTGTTCTTTTCTGAGAGACTTCTTCATGCTTCCTTGGAGCAGCAGACCTCCCGCCCCAACCATCTGCGCAAATTCTTTTCCTGGTTACAAGGGCAGCTTACAGGGACAGAGCCCGCCTGGCCAGCCAGGAGTCTTGCTCAGGGCTGCAAAGCCTTTCAGTTTGTGATAACAGGTCACTGTCTCCCTCCTGTAGGAGAAGGAACAAGGTTTTTTTTTGGGGGGGGGGGGGGCGCTAGCCCAAAATCACATGGCTTCAAAAGCGCTGCAAAGTAAGGAACCCCAGGGTTGCCTACTTCCAAGTTTATGTGTGTAGGTTAGAGACCTCCATATGCTACCTGCACACAACACACACACACATTCACACACACACACACACACACACACACACACACACACACAGAGAGAGAGAGATTGGTGGCAAGAATGGTGATGTCCCAGGAAATCTGGGCAGGAAATGGTGTTCAGTTGGCCTGCCCAGTGGGCCTTGAACAGGGTCAACCAGAGGGGGCCCCTCCCTTTGGTATTTTCCTCCCTCTGTTTCTCGCTCTTGCAAATGGCCCTTTGGAGCTCATTCCCAGTGGAGCCCTGGGTTTTCTTTGAAGCCTCAAGTCTGTGGTCACTGGTCACTTTTGCTAGATGTCTGCCCTGCCTGATGAAATCAGGTGAGCAGGTACAGGCCCAATTCAGCAGAGCCTGTTTGAGCTAACCTCCTTACGGGAAGGGGAAAAGGCCTGGCGCTGGCTGACAGCCCTAGGGTTAAAGGGTCTCCACTCAGCACAAGAGAGCACAAAGAAGTGCTTGTCTCTAAACCCGTTATTTCTTCCCTGAATCCTCTCCACACACACACAGAGTTGGAAATGTAGTTCAAGTCCATCTAAAACTGTAATTCACAACGCTGTTCCGGAACAAAACTGAAAGGCAGGAATCATTGACGGGAATTTCGGGCAGCCTTCCTTGTCCTCACCCGGGCACGGTTTCATCTCTCCATGAATCTCTACTCTTGGCAACTTCCACAAAGAGAAAGTCACTGAGTTTCTGTCAGACTCCTGAACCCAAGAGGACACTGAACCCTATATCAAGCATCACCGGTCATGTGGTGTGCTAACCAAGGCAGCTTTGGGGGGCAGCATATACACCTCGGACACACTAGAAAAGAAAACCAGGGCAGGTGCTGAGGGGACAGAGTCTCACCAGGCTACTCAGAATGGCCTGATGTTTCGAAACTAAGAACTAAATATCCCTGGAATTTCCCATCTAACCTTTTCAGATCCCAGCTGAGAAAAACAAGACGGTTCAAAAAGAAACTGTAAGCGAAGGAGTCCTGCTGTGAGTCCTACCCCAGTTCTGCAGGGATGTCTTGTTGTCTTGTGTACTTACCACGGAACCAGGATAGCCTCATTCCTGATCCTCCTGCCTCTGCCTCCTAAGTGCTACAACACCATGCACAGCCAGGAGCCAGGCTTCTCCAGCTGAGGGACCCAAGAGGGCGTGTTCAATGGAAGGTGCTGCTTTACAAACCTTACCCCTAGTGCACACATGACTTCCTCTCTGCTCTCAGTCACTTTACTGCAGCATCTATGACACCGGCTCCCCCAGGCTGCCTCATGGGCCGTGACTCCTCACATCTTTGTTCTTAACTTCATCTCTACTCATTCACAGCTGCTCAGAAACCACCCCTCTTGAGGCTGGAGAGATGGCTCGGCAAATAAGAACACTGGCTGCCCCTTCAGAGTGCCGGGTTCAACTCCCAGCGCCACACGGCAGCTCACAACCATCTGTAACTCCAACTCTGGGGGATCTGACGCCCTCTTCTGGTGTCTGCAGGCACTGCATGCATATCGTGTACAGACATACAAGCAAGGTACCCATACAACATAAAAAATTTTAAATGATTAAAATGAAAATTTTAACACCCCCCCCCTTCTGAGGAGTCCCTGCTTCTCCATCCTCACCCTCTCCTCAGCTCAGGCCTCCTCTGTGGTCCTTTCAAGAAGGCTGACCCCACTCACTACACATCTTCCTGCACCTTAAAAATGATAGTTTATCCTTTGATTTCTGTGTATGTTCCTGTCCACTGGAGGCCAGAAGAATCCCCCAAAGCTGGAGCTAGAAGCTGTTCTGAAGTTCCAGGCATGGTGCCACGGTCTCCAAGGACAGCCACACTTTCAGCCCCTGGGCCATCCCTCCAGACTCCCGGCACATACTCCAGCCACACTTGGATGACAGTGCTAGATTGACAAACATCCAAGGGAACGATTTCTTTGTCTCCTGGTTTCGGGGATGACAGTGTCGTGGCTGGCTGTGTCGTGCCTGAGCTGAAAGGTGAGCTAGGATAGAACCGCTGACTTTGGTGAGCCTGGGGAGTGGGGAGAGACAAGGGAGGGGGCAGGAACGAGGTGTGAACCTCAGTGCACATGGACCTCTTTCTACCAAGGAGGCCCCTCCTGCCCCCTCCACTGCTTCCCAGGAACACCACCCTGTTATGATGGGGGGTTGCTAATCTGCTGATTATGTCAGAACCTTCATGGTCCAGTCACCTGTCAGAGACTGGCTGCTCCAGCTGGGACCAGGCCCTCTGCACGTGAGTTTGGATTTGGGGTGGCAGTTCAGATGCAAACCAACCGAAACAATGAACAGATGAATGGATATTCAGATTTTTTTCCCCTATAAAAGAAAAAAAATAAAAAAACAAAATGTCTTTGCTGGTTGGCTTGAGACAGCAGGTGCCAGGTCTGTTGGGACCAGGGCTTTTTGGAGGCTGTGTCATTTGAACCAAGACGTAGAAGAACGAGTGGATTGTTGCTTTTACATTGTTTTCTTTAGACTGGGGAGGTGGCTCAGTGAGTAAGACAGTTCCTGTTCAACTATGAGGTTGTGAGCTCAAATCTCCAGACCCCATGTAAATGCAGGCATGGGGGCACACATCTGAAGTCACGGTGCTCTTATGGCAAGAGGCAAGGCACGCAAGTCCCCAGAAGCTAGAGGGCCAGACATTGAGGCACAAGAGAGGCTGGCAACAAGGAGGTCCTGTCTCCACCAAGGTGGCAGGCTGTGATTGACCAGCAAGGGTATCCCCTGAGCCCCCTGCAAGCTGACCCACAACTCATTCGTGCCTGCCCCTACTCAAGACTCAGCAGCTAATGAGACACAAAACGAACATCTCTTGAATCTGCCCAGCTGATCCAGCAGCATCCTTTATGTTCCACTATGAGGAACACTGGCTGGGATCCACATCTTACGTTACATTTGAAGAAACTGAAGCCTGGGTTTGAGGTTAGAAGTGTACAATAGACACGTCTGTGGATGAAGTCTCTAGCCAGTCTGTCTAAAGCACTCTAAAATAAATATTTGATTCACAGAAAGCAAGCAAAACCTGAGAGGAAGAAGAGGAGGTGGGGAGGAGAAGGGGGAAGCTAGAGGAAGGGCTCCCAGCATTCTGTGAGTTTGGTGACTTAATGAGAAAAGAAAGACCAGCTCAGGCCAGCCTGTGGATGTCCGGGTGATGTCACCTCCACCTTCCCTCAGGTGTGACAAAGTCACAGACCGAGGAACTTGGGTGAGTGTGGTGGCTCCCAGCTCTACCTCTTAAAACCTTCAGAGTTCAGAAAACCCCCTCTGCCCCACTATGACTTCATCTATGCAAATGCAGCACTTGGTCTTTGCTAATTCCCTTATGAGATCTGCATGCAGTAAACAACCCCACAGGCCTAAGCAGTGGACGAGCTAAGAGCTTCTGATGTCGGTGTGGGCAGTAGAGATTGGAGGACATCTCTATTCCCGCCTCACGCTGCTCACAGAGGCCACAATGCCAAGAACTGCATTTGTTGCAGTTACAATGTGGGTCCAGGGCTCACAGCTGAGCATCTCACTCCACCACCCCCAAGCTGTAGACCTGCAGACCAGCAATGTTTCTTCTCCTGACTATGTACACAGTTGCATCCTCCTCTAGGAGCTCTCTGGGTACCAGGTGGGCCTCACCCTTATGTTTCTTCTCTGCTAAATTTATTCTAAACTTTGGATTCTGAGATGCTACCTGCATACCCCAGAAGAGATCAAACCTGACCCACCGTCCGTTTTGTTCTCTAGAGACCACACACTCAGCACACAGTGACTCCGCAGTCACCAGGAATCTCAGTTGGGCCTTCTCCAGCCCCATGAGCTGGGGACGGGGAGAGGACAAGTTCCGCAGGACTCAGCCCACCCAAATCAGAGGTTCTCTAACTCCATGGACAGGGGCTTTTCTCTGTGTGTGTATGTCCCTTTTTTTGTTTCCTGCCCACCTCCCTGCTCCCAGCTTCCCATTCTCTACTGTGACCTCCACAGTCCAAACATTTCAGTGCTGCTTGGAAACTTGAGACCAAGGACAAACCCACCCATGAGACATGAATCCAGAAGCTACATAGTGCCTGCCTGCTCAAGGGTTCTGGCATGGATTAGCTTTCTCTGTGTGGCTGCCCCTGTGGTTGCTCT